CTTGTCAATTCAAGAATGTTAGAATTTTACTATTTATAAATTTTTGTCATATGGCAAAATCCAAAATACTATTATTTTCCACACCGAAGAATAAAGGAAAAGTTGAAAAGAGACGTAAATATATCGATGATAGAGAGAGGTTGGTAAAGCACGACAGCTCTCGTTGAAAACCATGTTGATTGTTGAGGCGGCGTCGAGGGGCCAACTGCCTCTCGCCGGAGGGAGCGGGCTTTTATACTCCCTCAGCCCAGGAAAACCGAGAAGGCGGCGACCTTGGGTTCCGCCGAGTCACTCCACGAGTCCCTTATCCTAACGGGGGAAATAATGACGGGATTTTTGGGCGGAAAGATCATGAGTCACACACGTGCGTATATCTGTATCATAAAGGCGGACTTAGATTTATTTATTCTACATATTGCTTTTATCTAATTCCCTGTATATATATTTATATATATGCACACATACATACATATATGGATACGAATACATATTTACATATTTGTGTGTGTGTGTGTGTATATATATATATATATATATACATATATATATATATGGATATGTACATTATATGTAATATATGAATATACATACACTCCCACGCCACAAAACAAAGCACACATAAATACATATACATATATATGCATGTGTGTGATTTTTAGTGATAATAACAAAAGACAACTTGTCCTTATCGAAGAAAGATGTTTTGTCCTTTAACGAAGAAAGCTGATCTTTGAGAGTAATGATCAAGGCATAATTGTTGACTGACATATGTTTTTAGTTCGGCATAAAAAGAAATATTAGTAGTCCTTTCATTTTTGGACGTTTGATTACTTTAAATACATATCGGTAGCTAGCTAACGCTGGGTGCTTTAAATACTCACAATATGGACAATAACTGCAAGGAAAACAAATATAAGGTCTGTACATTGTACGGAGTCATTCAGTCAATTCTAAATATCTTGTGGGTATAGAAGGAACATAGTGATAAGTGAGTCTATTAGTGCGAAAACAAAGGAAATCCCACACATATGTGTATATATATGTAAACAAAAAGAAAATTCAAGTCAGTGAGTCGGCCCCATGAGTGAAAATCGTGCTGCTGGGCGCTGGCGACGGGGTCTCGGACGCGTCCAAAGGTTCCGATCGTCTGCTTGGACAGATGGCGAGCACGCCCGTCGCTCTGGATCTCGGCGTCTCTGCCACTTTCGAATATATATGTATATATATGTATATTATATGAATGTTTACATACAAACACACACATACATTTATATATACACATACATACTGACATACATATGTATATACACATATGTATATATACACATATATATTTATGTATATATAACATATAATTATGTTATATATATGTATTACATATACATATAAAGACACACACACATACATATATGTATGTATATAATACATATATATATATACATATATATATATATATAT